AGATGTTCACATTGAACTTGGCTGTATTTATTACGTTTTCAGACGTTATTACACCATATATTTACGATTACACCCATTTTCATCTTTTCCGGGATGCCTAAAAAGGGCCTAATCGTGCCAGCTGGTGGCAATTTAATATTCCTGAGCAAAATAACTAGACGCAAGTGCATACATTGGATATTCAACTATGACTAGGGTAATCAGTAGCACCAATATATTCATATTATCGTCTTTTATTAGTGATTAGCCTCCTTTCATTTTTGAAGAGCGAAGGATATGTTGTGATCAAGAGCATGGACCCCTACCTAATACTACGTTACAACCCGCATTCTTGGGTTCACCCTTTGCACCTTGCATGGTCTATCTATAATCTGTTCTATATCATATCCGACTATTTTTAACTGATTCATTATTTTATTAAGTTATTACATCCATTTTCCCCCTTTTTCCTAAATTCCTATAAAATTGCCTTGTCGATCGTGCCTACCTGTACCAATTTATAATTCATGCATAAAACTTCCAGACTCAAATGCATTCATCGAAAATTCACCTAGTATCACTAGCATTTATATTTTATATTTATAGTCTTTTATTAGTGATGATTTATTTCTTTTTCCAAGTACCTAGCGTATGTGGTGATCAAGCGCGTGCGACTTCTTCTAAAACTACGTTTTAATCCTAATTAATGGATTTACTGGTTGCATTTTTCGTGTTCAACATTTAATTTGGCTAATTTTAACTAATTCATTTTCTTTTCAAAAGGTATTACGCCCATTTCATTATTTTTCCAAAGTGCATGAAAAGTCATAACCGGTTCCTGTAACAATTTAGGATTTACATATTTATCCAGGGGGAGAGGAAAGCCCATAAGACGGCTTATCCATATGGAAAAACCACGGCCTCTCGTCCGGTTATCATTCCAAGTCGGTTGTGGGATAAGTTATTGGACACGTAGTGGACATAGCGATCGTTTCAATATTATGTTGTTGTTGTTGTTCTTGTTCTTTGACACGTTTTTAAAAAGTCGCTTTTCTCTGTGATGACTGGACCAATTGCTTTGAAATTTTCAGTGGTTGAAGATAAAAATTTTCTTCAGAAGGCTATTACTTTTTTTTCTGCAATGACGGCATCAGAATTATTGCCCTTAGGGGGCGCTACGTGTCCATATATTTGAGCATAGCTCTCTTGTATTGTTTGTTTTCGGAAACATGGACTTGGTGGTGGAGGAAGCCGTAACCGACCAGCGGTTACGTGAACCACCCAACGACGGCGAGGAGACTAGCAATCCTCTCGCACATAACCATCCCTGCATGGGATTCGAACCTGCGAACCCACGCAGAGTAATTAGAGGTGCGGTGGCGAGCGTATTCCTAACGCTTAGCCCGTTGAGCCACACCGCCGCGCCAGGACGGGTTTATTATTCTTCAATACCACTACTAGACTCAAGTGCATTCATCGGATATTCACTCAGGCTAATTAATGTGACTTATATTTTTATTTCTCGGTTTTTATTGGTGATAATTTATTGTATTTATCGCGTTTTGTTAGACTTTCTCAACGGTGTCGCCGCTCGATAACCAGCTTTGGTTTTCGGCGTCTCCCTTCACCCTAAAATGCGATTTTTTTTATATATTTCTTTTAAATTGTGTATGTAGAATTCGTATTTTTCAGCATGATGAAAAAATAAATTACTGATTACTGACTGATTACATTCTTCATTTTTTTGAAGTGCCTAGCGTATTTGGTGAGAGAGCGCGTGCGACTTTTAGTACTACGTTTCAACTACAGTATCATTTTTGGGTTTACTTGTTGTACTTTGCGTGTTCAATGTTTAATTCGACTATTTTTACCTAATTCATTGTCTTTTTAAAAGATATTACGCCCATTTTACCCTTTTTCCGAAGTGCATAAATAGGTGCCTAATTTTTAGGTGCCTACTTTCAGTCCGTCCCCTGAAGGGTTACGGTATCACTGGAATTTGCATACCGTAGTTGTTAGGAATTTTGTCAGTTTGTTAAAGCGTAAATACGGTTAAAGTCTAAGCAGTCTTTCAGCTATTAGAATTTGACTAGATTAGCTTGAATAATTATGTGTGTTTAAAGTCAGATACTACAGTCAGACAGTACCGTACGGTACCGGTACCAGTAGCCTACGGTACTACAGGATAAATGGGAATTTAGATACAGTCTCTGTTGAGAGCCTCAATTTGCGTTGTTTTAGTTTTGTATGATGATTAAGAACTCGTACAGTCCAGCAGTCTGTAACTACCGGTACTGAACTACAGAACTAGATGTAAGATAAGATTATTTTGTTTTAATTTAGTCTATTAATAATAGTGTAAAATTTTCATTTGCTAATTGTCATTTTTTATGTAACTATTGTTCATTTATGACATTAACAACATGAAAATTTGATACAACCAACTGGATAATACTGTACCGGTAATATGTACCGGTACCGGTATTTGAATAAATGAGACCAGTGGTTCCCAAACTGTGGATCGCGACCCCATCCGATTTTTTGGGGTCGCCTAACTTCTGCCGAACATACACACACAAGTGAATAGAATTTGAAAATTGTATAGTGAAATTTTTGCTGGCAAATACCGTAAAATTTCCAAACTTAGGATTTTTAGCAATATCTTGACCATTTGTTGTCCAAACAGTGCCAGAATGGCTCGATTCTTTTTATAGCTTTTTTGATCATCTTACATTCAAATAAATTGTAGACCCGCTGGTAAGCGAATTGGATTTAGACCATTGCCAGTCTGCGAAAAATTACGTTGGTTTTTTATTTTGTATCTGTGTAGCCCACCGTTTCTCAAATTGTATGCCGCGGCACGCTAGTGTGTCGCAAGAGCTTCTCAGGTGTGCAACGGAGCTTTTTGAAATTCTAGAAAATAAGCTATTCGTGTTACACATTGGAATGCATGCAACGGGCAAGCTTGTGAGACTTGAGTATCCGGTATTAGACTGGTAATATAATTACATTTGCCTCATCGATGTAGTACAGTAGTAAGAGTGATTTTCTACTATGACTGAAATTAAAAGCAAAAAAGGGAGCGACGGAACATCATTTCAATTGTTTCTCAAAACAGACCACACACATCTCATTAACATTTGCAGAATAATTTGTTTAAGGATAACTTTATTTTGTTACAAGTGTGCCGCAGGATATTTTTCGTTTGCTTAGTGCCCCGTGAGCAAAAAAAGTTTGAGAACTACTGGTGTAGCCGCTTGGTTTGGAAGATACAAAGCAAAGTTGCTTTATTTGGCGAACGGTCCTTAGTTAGGTGTTTGACATGTTTGGTATTGATTACCAGGCGGTGTCTTGGCGGAGTATTGGCACTGTAGGTTTTGATCAGTTGCGAAAGCACTTTGTTAATTTGCGCACGTGTCCAAAATCTATGAGTCGGCTGCGTGTTTTGCCCACATTGACCCCACATAAAAGTGAACGTTTTCGTATTGCGATATTACGTATTCAGAAGTTTCATACATACTTTCAAAGCGTTCCGAGTAGTCAAACACAAAACCACAACAAGTTTTAGCATAATAGAAGGCACCTGAAAGATGTGATTTCGTTCACGTTTTCCCTATTTTACTCTCATGCTCCGTTTTAATTTAAAATTATTAATGGAGCAATCTGTATTATGTTAACATTGTAATCAAAATAATAAAGACACTGTTGGAATATACTAAATAAGATTTAAAATTTATGTATATTTAGAAGCATCTTACTATCTCCAAATCTCACTATTTCCGAAGTATCATAAGCTTCCTTACAGTTACAATCTACCACATTTTATCAAGTCCGTCTAGTACTGTAGGTTTCGCTAAAGAACCGTTAAAATCCTGATCTAAGAGATTTTTACACTGTGGTTTTCATATCATGCCATGTGTTATCAAATCTTCCGAAGTTCCCCCGTTTTCTGGCGCATTGACGGACTCGTTCATATATTTTTGGGCCAATGTTCATCGTCAACGTCCATTTACAGTAGATATACTGGTACATTGTTCCCATTGAGGTATTTAAAATGATACATAGTACTGATTTCTGAAGTTGCTCAACGTTTCTAGTTGTGGGTCGCGAGTATCTGTGGGCTTTGATTTTATGAAAATTGGGGTCGCGACAAAAAAAAGTTTGGGAGCCACTGAAATAGCAATACCGATGCTGAATTAATGGAACATACAATGGTGATGGGGATCTTATTGGATGGTAACATTTTATGTAATGTGATGAATATTGGAGTATTCCTGTTTTTACCACATAAAAAAAAAATCCTAACTCAGTAACTAGAGCCTCTATTATACTGTTATAGCAATACAGCACACTATCCAAATTCCAAGAATTTCCCTCCATTTGGCTCAATAAAAACAAACACTTTATGTGTCTCACAAAGGTGGGGCGTCTGGGATCACGTTAGATGCTTCATATCGCGCCATGCTTGTCTCAATAATATTCTAAATTAATCGCGGCCGCCACATGACCAAAATTGCTGTTTTTTGCTAAAAACTCTCAAATGCTACGGTAAAAATTTTTTCTTTCGATAAATCGGATTATTTTTTTCTGAGGAATTCAATGATGACGTTACTAAATTGCGCTTATTTGTAGTATTTGGCGCAACTTTATTATACTGTATTTTTACCGATATTGAGGGACAACAATGTCCAGACGTCTCCCTAAGGAGGGGTGTCTGATCATCTGTAAAATGGGTTTCTCTGAATTAGGACAATGTCACCCGACTTGTATAGTGTGCCGTACTGTATAGGTAAAATATTTATGTGAATTTGTCAAGTGGCTTCCTTGTCAGTTTGTCAATCGTAATCCTATTGGAAATCATTTTATTTGTCTGACTAAGGTGGTATGTATGTAATTCTGATTTTTGGATGCAGTCTTCATTTCATTACTAGCCTACTGTCTGACTGTACTATGTCTGTATGTCAGCATGCAGTAATAGTTTTTTTTCATTTTTTGTGCTTGACTGTCTGACTGTATGCAAAAATTTTTATTTTTCATTTTTTTGTTCACCAGATATTCTTTAATTCTGTTCCATCAAATTACACTATACAGCCATACATAATAATGAGCCTCTTGAGTTCAGCACACGACTTAATCAGGAAAAGAATGGCTGGGTTATCTACACCTCAAAATATTCGCAAGGATATGAATCAATATTTTCTAAACATAGAACAGTTATTAAAACGAACAGTTGAATTGGGAGAAAGCAATTCACTTCTTATTATTGGTCCAAGCGGATCTGGCAAGACAACATTACTGAAAAAGTCTTTAACAAACATTAAAAAAGATGTTAACATAGGGAAAAATTTGATGGAAGTACATTTAAATGGTTTAATTCAAACTGATGACAGAATTGCATTAGAAGAAATTACAAGACTATTACATCTTGAGAATACAGTTGGAGATCGCGTGTTTGGTTCTTTTTCGGAAAATTTAGCATTTTTATTGGAAGCTTTGCGGACAGGCAAATCGTCAACTTCTTGCCCTATTCTTTTCGTTTTGGACAATTTTGAGCTTTTTGCTATGCATAAAAATCAAACCCTGTTGTATAACCTTTTTGATATTACGCAGGCGGGTACTACACCTATGGCAGTAATAGGTCTCACTTGTAGACTTGATGTTATGGATTTGTTAGAAAAAAGAGTAAAATCGAGGTTTTCACATAGACAAATATATATTCATAATGGAAGTAATTTTGATCAATATGTAGCAACTTTCAAGGACTTACTCACTCTCAATGCGGATGATATTAAAACATTTGCTGGAAACAAGAATGAGAAAAATAAATTTCTGAAGCAGTGGAATAATTTTGTTGAAAAAATTACATCTGATTCATCAGTGCTTCGGTCACTTCAATTTCAGTTTGATATTTGCAAGGAAGTTTCTTCGTTGTACACTGCGCTTGCACTCGTATTGTTTAAATTAGATCCGTTTGCAAAGCCATCAGATACTGCAGGTGAAATAGTCGATGCAATAAATACATTACATTGTGATTTCAAAGCAAATGTACTACATGGACTTTCTGTCTTGGAACTTTGTCTGGTTATTGCAATGCACCACCTGAATAATATCTACGCAGAGCCTTTTAATTTTCAAATGGTTTATAATGAATATATTAAATTTGCGAAAAGAAGATCCCATATCTTGCAAAACTATTCTAAACAGGTTGTCATGAAAGCCTATGAGCATTTGATAGAATTGGAACTGATTAAACCTATGGATTCAAGTGCAACTGGTGTTCATGCTGGTGTTGGATCCAAACTTCAAAAGGAATACAGGCCGATGTCTCTATTAATTGAACAAAGCCAACTTCATGAAGCGATAAACAAATACAATGGTTGTCCTACTGATCTAAGGCAATGGGCTATGTCATCACTTGAATAATTTGTATGAACAAGCTATGAGGGCATAACAACACACACAGATAGTATTGAGAATTGTTCCTTCTTTGAGAAGTATTTTCTGGCAATATTAACATTATAGATTACGGCAGAGGTTCCCAAACTTTTTGGGCCACGGACCCCTATTTGTGGATATTATTTTTTACGGACCCTCATGTTATACCAATTTATGTGACTCCCATTGTTAAGGTCTCGTAACCATTACCATTTGTGATTGCGTTAACTTACAACTTTATCTCGTTTATGAATGTCTATGTAACAGTGGATATACGTTAAATGTACCGGTATATGTTTCAGACTCTCAATATCGCTGCGAACCCCATGTGTAGTCGTTACGGACCCCAGTTTGGGAAACCCTGGACTACGATAATAATGATTATGTGTTTTTGTTTTACAATACACACAATGAGGAACAAATAATGTACCGTACTTCATAAGGGCATGTTTGCTTTTTTATAAATTTGCATCGAAACCATACTTGACAAAAAAATAAAGATTTGGGAAATGAGATCATTAATTCATTATTTGTTATTTTCAGATAAAAAATGTTTTTTGAACATACATTTTCCAACAGATTGATGTTGTTGCCCCCAATGATCAGCGGTTATTGATTAATCCTGTCATCTTTTACCATATAACATCAAAATCCAATTAAACATACATGATAGAAGATTGTTCGAAGTTTTAGTACCTGTGTCTGCTATGTTCAAAAAAAAATTATTTTCTATATTCATTTTCAGATTCCTAATCAGTATATGGTTATTGTCTAGTAATAAATTTTCTTTCATTCAGAATCTTATTTTTCGACAAATAATAAATATTAATGTAATTCTGCTTCAACACTAGACTGGGCTACACTTCACATTTTACCCATAGTTGGGTTTTGGGATTATGAGCGATGTGAGTATAGTATTTTATTCACTATTCTGATACATAACGGTAATGTAAATCTCTGATATTGAATTGTTTACATTCGACTGATTCCAGGTCATGTTATACCAGAAAATTACTTGCATCAATAAATTCATGTAGGTACTTCTCGTGGAAATTAATTCAGTTTTTATAAATATTTCAATCATTACAAAACTTTGAACAAGCAGGCCCTGAATCCATGAAAGCATTGTGAAAACAAATTAAATGTACATACTGTTATCTAATAAACTATCTGCTAGTACTTATTGCTATAGAATTGGGGTATTCGGGTGTCTGTGTTTCACAGTTTATTAGTAATAAGTTGACAGAGGTGATAAATATTTATCGTAGATGCATTAATAGTTGATACTGATATTGAATAATACATTGGGTAGAAATAACATACTCTCGTAGTATGTGTGCCAGATTAGGTTTAGAGCATAATTAGGCTTCCCGCTGCTTGTCAGCAGGGAACCTATTGTATTCCTGTGTTTTATTATTATTTATTTATTATTATTTTTTTTTCAAATTGGTCCTACAAACTTGAAATTCACCTCAAATGTGCAGAACTTCTCAGCTAGCAATGGAATGCAAATTTTATGCATGACTGACCACGCTTTCACGCTCCAGTGAACAAAACGCGTTTTCAGTTTTTTTGCGATTTCTCAAAATTAATACATGCTATTGGGTTGAAATTCATAACAATGATTAATGGACATGTTCCGGATACGATATGTCAAGGACACGCATGAGTGACCTCGGCGATACGCTCCAGTAAGCAATATAGGATTTTACATTTTCATCTTCTTCTTGAGAACGACACTACTTAGAGACTTGAAATTTACATCACATGCAGATAATAAGTCCCCCATCATAAATTGCGAATTTTATGCATGACTGACCACGCTTTCACGCTCCAGTGAGCAAAACGCGTCTTCAGTTTTTTTTTACGCGGGAAGCCTGTTAAAGCTGCACGCAGCTCTAGTTTTATTCTGATTTTCCTTATTTTAGTTCTGTTACGATAAAGAGTTCGGGGACTGTCTTTGTTAGCCAAGTAAATATGCCCATAGGCTCAGTGGCGCAACCAGCGGGGGGGTTACGGGGGTCGTGTCCCCCGTTTGAATTTCGTTTTTTTTTATTATTGTTCTATGTTAAAACAACGTCGTTCCACGGTCATAACAATCCGGTGAAAACTACTTTTTTCCAGTGCTTTATCACCTCGACGTAATTTAACACCGCCCGACTTCAATTATACCTTTTTGCTGATAGTTACGTGATAATCGCTAACCCCGCGTATATGTTTGTATTCGAAAATGAGATATGTTATCTCATAAAAGTAGAAATCGCGCGCTGTCGATGCGAATTGAAAGCGACAATAGCATAATGCTATCTCTCTCTCTCTTGTGACGAATACTCTCGTGCTTCATCATCTTGACGCAATGTAACGCCGCCCGTCTTCATGTCGTCGAGGACGTCTTCATGTCGGCTGTTATGTATTTTTGTTTGTAAATGAATACCGCTAACTTTAACTGAACTGATGTTGTTATCAATGCCGGATGCCGACGAAATCCGCGATAGATATTAAATACTATTTAAGAGCTATCTTATACGCGCTAAATTAGAAGAAATGAAAAAATTTCCTGTTATGTTCGGTCACTATCGAAACTGAGGATGGAAACAACTAATTAAGACACAATTTGCCGAGGACGCCTAAACCATCTTGACTAAGTTAAAATACCCGATAAGAAAATATTTTCAATCAAAAACGTCCTCGAAGTCTTATAAGTTCTTCAAGTTGGCGTTTATCGAAATTCTTTCATGTCAGCTGTAATATATTGCCGAACCACACATGGACGACGACGCCTAGGATATGTGCGCCATATTTGGGATTATTATAAACACGAAAAAACAGTATTTGAAGTTTGCGATATTTGAATTTAAATTCGATTTGGACATCCCTGCATTAAATTAGTCAGTTTTTAGTTGTGTTTCCAAAAATTAGTTTTAAATCAATTATTTTAATTGTCATTATGTCTTCCGGTGAGCTTCAGTTTAGTTTAGAATTTTTCCGGGGTTAGGGTCGGGAAAAGGTCCATTCGCAAGAAGTGCATTTTGTTTTTAGTCTTGACGAATTCACCCAACGAGCAAGGCGCGGCACGAGGGAAACACTGGAATTTATTCAAGCCGTGTTTCACTATCCACGAGGCGCAAAGCGAGGAAAACGTTGAAAATAATTAACAGCTTTTCGTTAGCAATTCGCTGGAATGTAATGAACGGCGTTTTGCTACCCACGAGGTGCAAGACATAGCGAAGCGCCGTTAATGAACGAGTGCAAGGTAAGCGAAAGGCTGGGATTTAATCGATGGCGTTTCCCTTTTAACCATGAGCAATTTATCGTGGTCAGCGGGGCGACACCTAGTGGCGTTGCGACTTACGTCGTGGTTGCACTGTGTAAATTCCGGTCGGCCCCCCCCCCCCCCCCCCCCGTTGAAAACGGCCTGGTTGCGCCACTGCATAGGCTTCCGTCCCTTTACATAACTTGATGTAAAGAAGGCGAACAAAATTAGTTACTTCCATATTGGTACATGCACTTCTGGAGCACTGAAATAACATAGACAAAGTTTTTATTTAAAAAATTCCTGAAAGAGGCAACTTTTCAACCTATTTCAGAATTAGATGTGGTTTTATCTGAAAATATTAATTATAAATACAAAATTTGATCGGTATTTCTGTCTCAGATTTTGTCATTATATCCATAGTGCACTCTATTTCATATACAAATAATATGATTTAGTTCAGAAAAATTTCTGGAAGGTAAAAACTACAAATATCTTTAGAACAGGATATTTTGAGCATTCCTTTTTATATAGCACTCTAATTAGAAAAAAGTGTCCTCTATGGTGGCCCATCGTTGTCACGCGTAAAATTGAAAATAAAAATAAAAAATAAAATAAAAAACCGATAATAAAAAAAATTTTGTGAAAAAACATAAAAATAATTAAAAAAAAAATGAAAAAAAAAAATTAAAATTAAAAAAAAATAAATAAATGAAAACGAAAAAAAAAAAAAAAAAAATGGAAAAAAAAAAATTAAAAAAAAAAAATTGAATAAAAAGAAAATAAAAAGGTTGACAACGATGGTCCGCCTCGTGGCCCATCGTTGTCACGCGTTTTTATTTTTAGAAAATTTGCTTCTGCTTGGGACCAACGTTGTCAGGCATAATCCTACGCGCACAAATGTGTTCCCTGGGTTTCAAACTCACTACTGATTTTCTTGAGCAATATTCAATATGAAAATGTTCTATAAATTCTCCATGCTACAAGTTCAACAAGAAGTAATATATTTATAATAATGATAAGAGAATATAGAATTGAATACGAAAATTCGGAAAATTTGTTTTTACGTGTATAAGGTAATTTGGAGAATGCTGCTTAACTACTCAGTTGTCTGGACACTCGCGATGCCGGTACCGTACCGTCTTACCAAATACCGGTAGTCGGTTATAGTCGCTTTGCGTCTGACCGTACCGGTAGCCATACAATCACTCATCATCTCCCATTCTTTCACGAGTGATTGCATGGGTACCGGTACGGTCAGACGATACCGTACCGGCATCGCACGAGTGTCTGAGCAGTTAAGCAGCATTTTCCAATTAAATTACCTTCTACACGTAAAAACAAATTTTCGTATCCAATTCTATATTCTCTTATCCTTATTATAAATATATTGCTTGTGGTTGAACTTGTAGCATGGAGAATTTGTAGAACATTTTCATGTTGAATTTATTGGATATTGGTCATGAAAATCAGTAGTGAGTTAGAAACCCAGGAAACACATTTGTGCGTGTAGGATTAAGTCTGACAACGTTGGTCCCAAGCAGCATCAAATTTTCTAAAAATAAAAACGCGTGACAACGATGGGCCACGAGGCGGACCATCGTTGTCAACCTTTTTATTTTCTTTTTATCCAATTTTTTTTTTCAAATTTTTTTTTTTTTTTTAAATTTTTTTTTTAATTTCAATTTTTTTTAAATTTTTTTGTTTGTTTTATTTTTCAATTTTTTTTTTAATTTAAATTTTTTTTATTTCTTTTTTTTCAATTATTTTTATGTTTTTTCACAACTATTTTTTTATTTTCGCTTTTTCATTTTATTTTTTCATTTTTTTTTTAAATTTTACACGTGACAACGATGGGCCACCATAGTCCTCCATCACATTTCTATTATTCATCTACGTGGGTTGAATGGGATACACACCTGATGAGTCAATACTACTACAGGATGGTAATAAGAAAAAAACAAATATTAGTAAGCTATGTATATTGTCTTATATTGCACCAGATACTATAAAGAAAATTGTGTGTTCAATATTGTTATGGAGCAGCATAGTTGATTTCATTTATTAATATCAATAATAATAGAGTAAAGTAGGATATAAGCACAAAAGCTGTGTTATAAGCTGATCATAGTTTTTGGATGGTTCACACTTGTTTTGAGAAAAGGTTGCTGATTGGGTCGTAATATATGAGCAAAAACACTTTATGTGGAACAAGGAAGCATATTCGATTTAATATCGTTTTTTATTGCAAATATGTTTACAATTACTTTAGGGCTTGGGTATATTGGCTTGCTTGGTTTTGGGTTCAAATTTTGCTTATTTTAAGTTATCTTTTTAATTTATTTTATTGCCTTTAATAAATATACTTCGCTTGATAAAATTTTTTCCAGATACGGGTATTAAAGTATTGATTTTGTCAGATCTAATGGTATTCAGAAACTTAATAATGTATTAAATTTTCAAAATACTGGCATATTCTCGCTGAAAAGTTAT